GTCAAATTCTTCATTTATAAAGTGCTAAATAATTAGAAGAATTGAGCTTCCTTAACTCCTTCATCTAGCTAGTTTTAAATGATTTGCATGTTCCTCATAAATAAATTTTGTGGACAATTTTCATGTACAACACAAATAGTAATATAAATAAATAAATCATTTTTAAAAGATATAAAGTTATTTATCGATTATCCAACAAGATAGAATTTCACATATCATATGTTGTCAACTGCATTAAAGTTTAAGATTTCTTTTGCAACTTACAAGGAAAGGGAGCCACATTATGATTATGCACCTTGACTTGAGGATCAAAATAAAGTTGAGAAAGTTTGTAAGTGTTTGGAAGTGTTTAATCTAACTACTCATATAATCTCAAGAAGTGAGTATGCTACTAGAAGTTTGTAACTTGCATAAGTATGGAGAGAAAAAAATGGTAATTAATAATGCAACTAAAGATGAAGATCTTTTTATGAGAGAGATGGAAACTCTAATGAAAATGAAGTTTGACAAGTATTATGGAAATGTAATTTACTTAGGCTATCGCAAGCATTTTAGATCCTAGGGTCGTATTTCATATTGTTGATATATGTTTTCCCTTATAATGTTTTTTTGGTAATTAAAAGTATTATTGAAATCTAAAAACCTCTAGGAAAACAAACACCACTAAGGTTTTCCCTTTAGGAATTACAAATAAACTCAGGAGCAAGATGAAAAACATGAAACTCAAAAAATACACTAAGGCCATGAATGGCCAGTAAATCAGCTACTTGGTTAGCCTTTCTCAACACATGACACCACCTAATAGACCTTTCATTTTGATGGATCCCATGGATCACTTTTATCACATTGGCATAACAATGGGTGCGACAACAACCTTTAGTTAGCAATATAATTGCATTATGAGAGTTAGAGCAAATTTTAATTTTGTAGTAGCCTTTCCCCTAAGCTAAATGAAGTCCATGATATAAATCCAAGGATGTTGTTAAAAAGAATATAATGAAGGTTCAGAGATCATTGGAACAATTATATCATGAATTTATGACTTTAAGCCTAAGAGATTCTTTCTATAGAAATAAGCCATGGCGGCAATAGCTCAACATCTTTTATTGGAGTTAATTCTCTAATCATGATTGGATTTGACCATTTTATGAGTATGGTGCATGAAAAGGGATTTGTTCCTCCAATGAAATCAAAATTACAAGATTTTCTTAACAAATGAGTTTATATTCCAAGTGATAATTAATAATAATTTGTTCAGCATCTTGGAGTGGTGGAGAAACATCATCATGAAATATAAGGTTTTCTAAAAGATGGTTGTTGATATACTTGTTATTCCAATATCAGTTGTGACATTAAAATAACCATTTAGCATCAGAGGCAGTTATTGATAAATTTCACTCTAAATTAAATGAAGAGTCTATTGAAACACCCATTTTGGTGGGGATTAACTTCAACATAGATATAATTTGAGGAGAAAAAGTCAAAGGTAAAGCCTTCTTGTTTTTACTTGTCAAGAAAACTTAGTTTTAAACCAAGGAGAGGTTTTTAGCAATTAACCTATAGTTATAGTTGAAGGGGATTCCTATAACATTTTTTGAATATAAAAATAAAAAAATAAACCTTTTATTCTTACAATAACTATAATGTGCAAATGTAGCTAGTGACAAGAAGTGAGCAACTAATAAATAGATTGCAAATCCCTTAGACACAAATATTGGTTCAGGGATGAATTTGAAGTTAACAAACTAGATAATATAATGGAAATAATACATCAAAAATACCTAATTAAACATACTAAAAAAGCATATTACACTTACACCCTTAAATTTAAGGGTAACACAAACTCAATACACCAACTTCATGATCTTACACAAAACTATTTGATATTTGAATTGAAATGAAATAGTTTGTACCTCAATAAAGTAATAAAAAAAAAGGAAGAAGGAATTGGTGTGTTATGCCTCTAACTTTAAAAAAACCCTTTCAACATATTTTTCTCTTCAACTAAGAAGGTTTGAATAATCCTTTATCTGACACCAAGTAAGGAATCACTCAAGTCCTTTTTGCTAGTAATAGGCCATTTAGATCCATTGTCCATCTTCTTAGTTCTCAATTAAATAAGCTTCCAACTAGGATTTATATGCAAAAGAGTAATGTATGGTGCTCACAAAGAAGCATATGTTTTTCACTTAGGTTTAAACATTAAGGGAAGGTTTAGTGTAAGGTTTTAAACTTTATGCTTTTATTTTTTGTATCACTAAACTAATAAATAAAATAGTATATAAAATAATTTTGCTTCAACTTTCACACCAAAGAGAAAAGTAACCATTAATAAAAAATATAACTCCAAACTTCTAGCACCTTAACATAGCCTATAAACTAAAAGTAAACAAAGCGCAAGCATTCACTTTAACACCCATGGATCTTATACAATTTGTCTTTAGCATGTTTAATCTCATTCTCTAGTTGATTTGTTGCATCAATTTCCTTCCTCTCTTCTTTGCTGACTCATGCTCAATATGTTTCACCTTGTTCAACAAACAATTGGCACCAACATCATCAATAATCACATCCAAATTAAAAAAAAAATAACACAAACACAACATAATAATATCCATACACAACATATCAATGCCTTCATCCATAATAATGATCTCTTGAACAAATGTGTCTTCAATAATGAGTTTGTCTTCGCCAATGTCATGCCCTTATTCTTGTCGGTGGGTTTAGCAACTAGTCTAGCAACAGTTTGGGTTTATGCTTGCAAATTAGAGTTTGCTACAATTATCAATTATATTTCCCTTTGCTTTTGGAGGAGCTTGATTTCCTCTAATTGCACTTTGTTTAGTGTAATGTAGTTGGATCAGTGAAATCAAAACCTACAAGTGAAATTTCCTATGAGAATTGTGTAGTTGAATTAGACAGAAACTTTGATATGTATACAAGAATGCTTCATGTTGTCCTTTGTGAATTATCAGAGTGCATCAACATAGATTCAATGGTGTTCTCTCTTTCTAACTCTTGAGTTTATACATGTTATCAACTTGTCTTGAATTTCTAAATTAGATCAAATGTTGCATGAACACAAGATTCATCATAATCCCACATGTAACATCAACATATAAGCTTTTATTCATGTACTAGTTTTGTATAATTTATCACCTCCTAAACAAATGTATTTTTACAATTTTGACAACTTGTATAAGTGAGTTTTTTGACTTTTTTCAAAATAAATTTTGTACGATTTCTTTTTTGTTAAAATGAATTTCGTGAACTTTTTCTCTTTTGTAAGAATTATATTTGTACCAATTTCACATTTTACATAAATGAATTTTGACAGTTTTATAAGATATAAATGTATTAACATTATTATTTTTATCAAACTTTTGTCATGTTAATATGATCAAGTTTTCAACACATATATCAATAACAAAATTACTTCAAACTGAATGTGACTTTTTTTTATTAGGGAATTTGTCAAAACACTTATTTTAATAGTCATAGGACCCAAAACAAATTTGGCCCATTTTTCTTTTTCTACCTCAAATAAAATTGATAATTATTGTTATATAAAAGAATAACAATAAAGGATGAGATATTTTGGTTGTGTTGAGAAACCATAAACTTTCAATACTAACAAGTTATAGTAAATAAGGGAATAAGGACAAGACATGCATAGCAAAAAATCACAAAGTCACTAAAAACCTAATGTGTGTTTGTGCAAATAAGGTGGTATAGTGCAAATCATGATTGTTCCAATATATCTAATATAGACATTAACGAAATCAATGTCATGTAACTTGTCATGTATTCTTGTACTAATTTAAATGTTCTAAAGACAAGATTGTGCAATTAAGGAAAACAACACCACCGCCGTAACTCCATTTTCATGCACAAGTAGTGATGATGTTATTTTTTTTCCTAGTTGGATGTAAAGAACCATTTTGTTAGTTTCACATCAATATGAATATAAAAAAAATACTACTACATGTGTAGTCATTTATGTCACAAAAACAATTTTCCAAGATTATTGCATAACCAATGTAGTCTAAAACAATATGCAAGATATGTAATTTATATTGAAAAATGCATCTAACTCTTTATTTAACATTATATAAAAGTGAATCACAAGTTCTTTTGTAAAATTTGTTATATAAACTAAGAAATGCAAAACCAACATATGACATGATTTCTGAATGAATGTTATAAATTATTCAATGAATTTTGTACAAATTATCCCTTCCTAAAAGAATGTAACTTTACAATGTATAAGCTGAAATGAACAATTATTTTTATGAATTTACTTTAGAAACAATTTTTGTACAATTTCTAATTTAATGGAAGAAATACATTTTTGTGCAATTTTGCAGAAAAAGATAAAAGAAAAGGAAATATAACATAACTCATGGTCATTCCAAAAATTTGGTTCTTTACCATGGACTTTAATAAAATTTATGTCATGTAATTTATCTTGAATTCTTGTTTTTGTAAAAAGAAAGGGTGTAGACAATAGGAATGCCAACTAGAACACCAATATAATGGTTACTCCTACACAAAATAAAAAATTACACAATAGAATGTCCTATAATCCTCAAAATTCAACAATCATCTTTTATTATCAATAAAGGAAAAAATCAACAATTGTTGTTCATAGAAGAAATCAACATATACAATATAAGAATGAAGAAGACAACACAAAGATAATAGTCAAGAAAGAGAATACTCCACAATGATAATTCTTTTACCCCCACATATTAGGTACATATATGGTTAGGAACAAATTTTATGTATTTTTTTTTTATCAAAAAAGAATCTTCCTAACCATAAACTTTTCAAAAGTTAACTACAAAAGTTCATGTACATCATCACTTATATGCAAAATACTAAAAATGAGTTTAATCTTAAATATACTCATCTTCCAATACACTTATCAACTTAGATGAGTTCTCTTTTATTAACATACATGCTAGTGACTTTATTTGGTTACTAAGTTTCCACAAATTAACTACCACTTGCTAAAAATGAATGCTTGGTGGTTTATTTTTGTTAGTATATGCTTTTAGATCAAGAAGATAGGACAAGAGAGAACTCCAAGCGACCTGTCCATTCTTCACCTGGCTTCAAAGTGATTGGATTTTCAACTGATGCACCATCAACACATAGCATATGCTTGTAGTCATCATCCCCAAAATCTACTATGGCCTTGGATTTTCTTTCCCCAGGATTCCAAACAACAATATCCGGAAATCCATCCTTTCTTATCACAAATGTTCTCTTCTTTTGATGATCTAGAATAGCTACCATATTATCAGTATCAATATAAACTCGATCGACCTCGGATTCAAATGTCAAAGCACCTCCTTGTTCTGTGAAACGTTGGTTCTGCAATAGGTTGTCTACATAGTTAAGAGTTTCCAACCCTTCCACCCTCACTTCACCGATGTCAGAGACAGAGAAATATGTATGGTATGCAATTGAGAAACTAAATTTGCTACTATCAACATTCCTAATGCGAGATATCAAAGCCAAACTGCCATCTGCTGCCAAAGTGACCCTTATGCGAAACTCGAAACCATGTGGCCATATTTTTAAATCATCTTCTGGGGTTGGTCTTAGCACAAAGTCAATAAACGCTTTTCCATTGAAATTTCCTACAAGTGGTGGAGGATCTTTCTCATAAAACCATATTTTTTTCATGGCAAATCCATGTTTCTCTAGTGTTCCCTGGTTCCCAAACTGTGGGAAACAAATTGGAATTCCTCCCCGCACTGGATGTGGATAATCAAACACTGCCTTGCTACTCATGAAGAGTAACTCCTCGTCGCGTTCTGTTTTCCAAGAAATAACTTGTGCTCCTTGAATACTAATTGTTGCCGAAGCTCCACGACCATTTTGAAGAACAAAGTGGCGAATTCCATTTATACCATTCTTCATCTCAACCGATGGTGTTATTGGTGCTATTGGCGATGATGACGATGATGATGTTCTTGATGATGATGGTGATGCTCTTGTGTTTAGCGATGATGATGACGATGATGACGATGATGATGACGATGATGATGACGATGATGATGTTGATGATCTCCTACTACTCTCTTCAAGGCTTCTCATTTTTCATTCAAGAACAGAAATGATATCTAGAGTGTTTCTCTTTCTTTGAAAATTATGGACGTAAAAAGTGACTTAACATATGCTAGTAAAACTAGAAAGAAGGGTTGTAGGTGATTTCTTTCTTTCTTTAGAATGATGGAGTAAAAGATATACTCTTTACTCTCTCTCTCAACTGTAATGACATTTTCCTTATTCTGTTACTATGCCTAACAGAATTCCTCAACAACTCTCAACTAATGGGATCATATGCCATGTGTACATCATGTGATCCTCATCATTTTTCTACAACGTAACACACCGATAGTCGTAACTAGTATAATATCACTCAATTGCTTTAGCATTTTTTAAATAAATACTTAATTTATTTAATATAATCTACGTATATTTATAATTATAAATTATTTTTACGAATTGAGATATAGTAAATCAGTATATATATATATAAATAAATAAATAAAAGTATTATCTCACTATTTAAAATTTGTGTATCTGTCATTAATTATGCTATAATATTGATATAATTGATATAAAATTTGCTTAATAGTACATGGATTAAATTGATTGATATTTGGATAGAATTAACATTATTTACTTATGAGATAATTTGAATAGTCACATCACCTGAAAAGAAATATGATTAACAAGAAAAATTTAAAAGCATAATATTAAATATGGTTAATAGTGTGTGAAATTCTAATATGCTAATAGACTAAAACAAATATTAATTAGGTTTTAAAAATTTTAATATAATATTTTTATCAACAAATTTAAAATAATTTATTTTCATAAATTAAATATCTTAAATGTGAATTTGCATTTGCATGGGTCATTTTGGTGTTTATGTTTATTTGAAATACACTTGTTTATAAAATTGAATTTTTATAGAGACAAACAATTAATTAATCTATTTGGTTATAGTTCCACAAATATTTTTTATTTTATTTTGGTTAAATTGTACTTTTAGTTTCATTATTTTTATTGATTCATAATTTTGGTTCTCCTATTTTAAAATAAAGATCTTTAGAAAGGATTTAAAATACATAAAATTATTTGAAAATTTTAAGTTTAAAAAATTATAAAGAATTTAATTTTTTTCTGAAATTAAATGAAAAAAAATTCAACTATTTTAGAACTATATTGTTGATAAAAAAGGTATTAATTTTTAATATATATAATTTAAAATCATTAATTTAAATATAAAAATTAAATTAGACACAAACTATAGAAATATAGTAATATTTTTTTTCTTTCATTTTAATCTCTAATAGACTATTTATATTTTAGTAGCATATAAGAATAGTTATTATACATATATTATCTTCACTATGTGAGAAGATTATGACCAAATTATTAATTATTAAATTTTTTAAGGTAAATATTTTTTTTCTTCACGTAATCGTGCATTATTAGCTAATAATAGAAAATATTATTTTGTATAAAAAATCTAAGACCTTATTTATAATATCTTTTTTATCAAATTATTTAAAGCATTTGAATGCAGTATCTGTGATTTTTTTTATAGGATAGTTTTTCATTAAATGAAGTTGTTTTAAATCTATTTATACGTTTAAATATTTTTACCATTTTAACCATCTTGAAGTTGCTACAGCCAATAATTTCACTAGCTAGTGTCACTATTGGTTGCAGCGACCTATTAAACGGTGCACAATGTTGATAAAAAAAAAATTTAATTTTTTTTTATTTTAGATTATTACGAGTCATAGTTACACTTTAAAAAAAAAAAATTTAACACGTGGTGTGTTCTAACTAGAGGCAGGTATGATCATATTGTGTGACACTATGACTCATAACAACTTGAAGTCATTATATGTCATAGCAACCTTATTGTTTTCTTAAAAAAAATGTAAAAACATTGTAAGTTGTATTAAAAAAATAATATTTTTATCAGATTAATTATTATAATTTTTATTTAGTTATTATATATATTCTTTATTTTTTAAAAAAATAAATCTATTAATTTTTTTAAAAATATATTTATAATTTGTTTACATTTTTTTCTAATAATAATTTATTGATATTGTTACAAAATTTATAAAATAATTCTTTTGATTTATTTTAAAAAATTAATATCTAAAATTTTTATTTAGTTATGTACCTGTCTAGGATACACTCGTAGTCTTCTAGGTGGTGAAGGGCCGAATGAGTACTCCAATAGAATATTTCGGTGAAGGGGTTGGTACCTGCAAAAGGCACTCCAACGCTCAAGTCAGGACAAGCATGAATATCTAGGATAATTAATGAAGAGTGACGTTACCTTTTGACTTGAGCTATTATACTGACATTTATGGGCCCTGACCTCTCTGGGCCCTATGACAAGATTACCATATTAGGTAATACGCCTCTAATCGGCTTATCAATGTGATTAACTCTTAACTCTTGATTAAGGATAATTCTTGTCCCTTGATTAATGATAGTTCATATTCAATAGGTATCCAATGGCCGATCAGCCGTCGGCCACCTGGTTCGGCCCTTCAGGTGCCGATTGGGTGTCGGCCACCTGGTTCGACCTTTCAGGTGCCGATCGGGTGTCGACCATATGGTGGCCGAAAGGCCTTGCCAGTACACTTTCCCCCCAGCCTTGGGGAAGGTGTACCTTCTTCAAGGATATAGCGGTTTAAGGTATGGGAGAAGTTGAAAGGTTAGGGTCATCTCTGCCATTGGATCTTGTAGATTTATTGGTTTAGGGTTTTAAATATTTGAATTTTCCCGCCTTTTTCCATGGCTATATATAGCATTGTGTGGTAGGGCCTCTCACGCGTATCGCTTTCAGCCGAGTAGTATCATTTGAGCAAATCCGATCCAGCAGCACGCGCCGAGTGATCGTTTCAATCTCAGCTTTCTGGTAAGTTTTATTGGATGGCTACTGCTTCCGAGAGCTCTTCGGCGAGTGGGGTTCGGTCATCATCGTCCGAGGGGTCGTTGTCTAGGGCTTCGGGGCCGTTGCGTAAGGAGACGTCGTCGCCGAATGGGGACAGGTCTAGCGAGGACGTGAGTACTTCCGAAGAGACCTCAACCAGTGGGAGTGAAGAGGTGCCGATCCGAGTCAAGCGTGTTTCCAATCGGCAAAAGTATGGGCCTTCCGAGGTTCCTGGGTACGAGTGGGTCAATGGAGAAGTGACTTCCTACTATTCTCGTTATCGAGATACCACCATGATAACCAACTTATTGGGGTACACCAAGTGTCTATATTTCAACTCTGGCGAGAATCCGTATCCGATTGGCGTGCTTGCTTGGCGAAACAACGCATTTCCCGATCCGGACGTGGTGTGCTTGGACAAGCAAGTCGATAGGATGGCCTCGTTCTACATTTATGATTGCCTTCTGCGAGATCTTAAGGTGAGACTACCATTTGATGAGTTCACTATGGGAGTGCTTAAGGTCTTAAACGCTGTGCTGACCCAACTACACCCGAATAGCTGGGCCCAACTTCAAGGTTTCAAGCATCTATGCCTATACACATTAGGCCTTCACCCCTACTTTTTATCTCTTTCTATTCGTCCCGCCCTTCGGATTTGGCCAAATGGGTGTCTCTTAGCCGAGTAGGGTCTCGGCAACTATTGGATAGCTTTACGTCGTCGTACAAGAATTTTAAAGCGGGATTTTTCCGAGTGACCATTTGTCCGAACGGGAGGCGTTTCTTCTTCGGGGCCGACGAAAAGAGCTTTTTTCCGTTGTACTGGACCTGTGCCCCTCGGCCGTATGATGTAGTGCCGGATGAGATGCTCACAACCGAAGAGCAAAGGGATTTACAATTTTTACTTCAACTTCCTAGGCGTTTGCCGACTAAGTCTTTAATAAACGTAGTTGAGTCTTCCTGATGGGAGAATGATTTGATAGGTATGTAACTTTCCTATTTCGGCCTTTAAGTAAATTCCTATTGATGTTTACTTGTTTATTGGTGCAGGAATCATGGTGACAAGTGGTGCCGATGAGTTCAACATCCACAATCTTTTGGCTGGCCGGATGCAACAGGCTAGGGCTTCGGGGGTTATGGGCAGTTCGGCGCTTGCCCAAACGCCTCGTCCAGAACAAGATGACCGAAATCTGCCTACCCCGGACCGAAAATGCAGAAAGGCGAGGAAGGGGAAGGCGGTTATTCAGGAAGGGCCGAAGCGAAAAAGTAATGAGGAGAGGCCGGAAAAAACCAAGAAATCCAAGCACTCAGTGTCCTCCCTCGCTGGGACACTTATCTGTGTGCCCCCCATGCTAATGTCTAGGTCCTTTCTGAGTGAAGAAGTCACTGCCGAGTCACTGGTTCGGCCAAATGCAGTCTCGGATCATGGCCACGAGTAAGGATAAAACATGCTAAACAGTGAAATATCGTAAAATAAAATCTTTGAAAGGCCAAATATAAGGATTGTTACATTAATAAATTTATTATAAAAAAAAATTATAATTTCCGACGGGTAAAAAAAGGGTTGTAATATTAATTTAGAGGCAGTTGGTGCGACAGTTGATGAAAGGGTTGCAATGTTAATATAGAGGCATTTGGTGCGATAGTTGATGAAACGGTCGCAATTCCAATTTTGCGACGGTTTGTGCAACGGTTCTGATAACCGTCGCAAAATTGCCTGGTGACGGACAATTCTGCGACGGTTCCCAAACCGTCGCAATGTTGTCTTTGCGGCAGTTCTAACCGTCGCAATGTAGGCCATATAACCGTCGCAAAATCGTCATTTTCTTGTAGTGACTTGAGTTGTTATAGTTCATAGTAACACTAACAAATAACTCTAAAAATATAAGTAATTTGAAAACAATCTTATTTATCTAGAATGTTTGAAAAATAACCCTTCAATAATAAAAAGTCATATTAGTGAGATAGTTATTATTAACCAGTTATTATTTAAGTAACTGATATATTTACATTTGTAGTTTTTACATAAATTTTTTGAATAATCTACAGTTGAATAGGTGATGCAACAATTGACTTGTTGATAATCAGTAATTACTAACACTAGTGGAAATAACCCTTGGAGAACGGCCTGTACAACTTGGAGAACGGGCCGTTCTCCATGGAGAACGGCCCGTACTCCCTGGAGAACGGCCCGTACTCCTTGG